TTATATATATATATATATATATATATATATATATATATATATATATATATATATATATTATATACGCAAGGCATATATATGCAAGGCACAAATGTCGAGCCTGTTTTCTTAAACGCGTTGGAAGCTTTCCGTCAGTTACGTCGATGCTATTAAAGCTAAATTAAGTCATAAAGCAGCAGGTCCATGAAATGTTGCGAATAAAAGTACGCAATGGCATAACTTGTTAACGTTGTTAATGCCGGTCTCGAGAAAATTCAATGGAATGCAATCAAGAGATGAAGGGAGAGAGAAAGAGAGAAAAACTGTACACTTAAAACATTTAATTGGGACGTCAAGGATGAAACTTTGCCGATCGATACATAGGGCACTCGACGATTGCAGAAATACGGATGAGCAACTATACCCTTAATCCTCTCACTGCCTGTCTTTCACTTCTTCTTCCCCTTTTTTTATCTTTTTGTTTCCTTGGTACGCGATCGTAGTTCGTCTGATGCTACACTCAACAGGAGAGCTCTACAGATTACTAGCGTACAAAGCTTTTCCACTTGAAGGTTCCTCGAGATTTATCTACTTTATAGAACGAAAGACCCGGCATGTCTTTATAGTTAATCACACGATCATGTAGCATGCACATATCTTCTTTGCGTCACTCAAAACAGTCGTCCAATAACATCAATAAGTTATTATAATAGTAAGGTGCTACACAAATCCATGTGCATTTACAAGGTGTCCCATAACTTTTTAATTAATATTTCAAGGGGTGAAAGAGGATGGAATTTTGAACTAAAAGTTCCTTTCCCAATTTTGACTCAGACCATTATTTACCGAGTTATTAACGATTAAAGTTGATCAATCAGATTGCGCCCAGCCGAAGTACGTAGAAGCGTAGCATGAGGTTCTTCGTGCTTTCTGTATATTCTCTCGATTAAAATTTTTTTTTCTAATTTTTTATATTAATAAATAAATTAATAAATAAGTAGATAAATAAATAAATAAATAAATGAGAAAAGTTACAGTTGGAAATTTATTCAATTTCTGATTGTTTTTTTAATATTATTTATTATTTATTTATTTGTTTATTTATTGAGGTCAATTATGTAATCCATTTGTTCAATTTAGTTATTTAATTTTCATAACTAACCTAGTAGCGATGGGGAAAAAATAATTACGAAATATTTGTTATGAATGCAAAAAAAGATTATTGGCAAAAAACTTATCAAAATAAATTGTTTCTAAATAAATTGTTTAAACGACCTCTTCAAAAATTGTTTTGACACATGTCATGTATGAGCCTTACGTATAAATATTATAAATAGATTGATATTGTTATAAATAAATTAATTGTTGTAAATAAATTAATAAATTAATTATGTAGATTAAATTATTTACGTATTCGTTAATTTCGGATTTTAAAACGATAACGCCATTGAATTGTAAGAATCGAATTGTAAGAAAAAATACGTAAGAATCATACATGCCAACGTTATGAAATAATCAAAATAAATTTTTCACAAGCAATTTGTTTAAACAATTTCTTAAAAAAACTAATTTTAATTGGAAACTGATAGCTCCATCGATTTCTACAAAAAAAAAAAAAAATATATAAGAACCATACATGATACATGTCAAAACAATTTTTGAAGAAATCATTTAAATAATTTCTTTACAAACAATTTATTTTGATAATATTTTTTGCCGGTAGTCTTTTTTTGTACCCATAACAAATTAGAATAAAATTTTAATCGAAAGAATGTACAAAAAGCGCGAGAGGTCTCAAAGCATGCTACGCTTCTGCGTATTCCGGTTGGGCGCATTCTGATTGATCAACTTTAATCGTTAATAACTCGGTAACTAATGATCTGAGCCAAAATTGGAAAAAGAATTTTTAATTCAAAATTTCATCCTCTTTCACTTCTTGAAATATTAATTAAGAGTCATGGGACACCCTGTATATACATCTATATATGTGCGTTATGGATTTTATTTTAATTAATGTTTTTATTATGTATTGAATTTTGTGCTATAATAAAGTTTATATATAGATTCTTGGATATTTGCGAGAATTCCGCATTAAGTGGAATTCTTGCGAATAAAGGTTTTTTTATGTAAAAATATATGAATAATGAATGGTGATAAAGCAAGCGCAATCTCATGTCTATGACGATAATTTGACCAATAACAAATGTATCCATGTTTTGTTACGAGGGAAATTCAATAGAAGAAATTCAATAGGTATTTTGTGTGAGAAATTTATGCATGGAAATTTTCACATGGATATAATGAAAAATACATTGAAAATATTATAGTAATTGAAAAAAAGAATGTGACAGATTAAACACTGTGTATATAAAAACATACATTTATATGTAAAATATATTAAAAAATATGAGAACATTCAAATAAGTAGTAATTTATTTGCGTATTATTATAAAATGAAAATTAAACATATTGAAAGTTGTAATTTTAATTTTTGCGAATTATTTTTATATGCTTCATAATATACTATCGCAAAGAGAGAAAATATCTTTCTAACAAGAATCTATGATTTTACAGTTTACATTTTACAGTAAAGCATATTTTGCTTTTTTTCTTGTATATGAATTATTTCAGTATTTAAATTATAAATTAAATTATATATTATTATACATATAAATTATTTCTGTAATATAAATTAATTATCGTAAAAGATATATATAATATTAATATAAAATCTGTAGTTATTAATAAGAGATTTGTACGCTTATCAAAAAATAATTCACCGATAATTTGGTTGCTATTTTCATGTCGTCTTAATTAACGTCAATGCAGATTAATAATCCAGAAACAAAATTCCCTCCACGGATTTACTTTATTGACAATCCTGTCGGCCATGTGAACGTGCATAGAATGTTCCAAAGTGATGACACAACTATAGTTCATCCTTTATTAAACTTCGATATTAAATTATGACGATAAACATCGAAGTTTATATGAAATACGAATAATACATCTTGATGGCTTCTTATAGATAAAAAAAAATTTCGAAATTGCTTAATTTTATTTCTCTTTTTTTTTATCGACATTTGTCTTTTCGTTTGTCATCCACTACAAAGTGCTATCTGTAAAGAATTAATTCTAGTTATATTATTGAAGTTTGCAATTTCCTGGTTACAACTTCACCAAAGATTCTCTTCGTTATAACTTCCTTCCCCTTATCTAACTATTTCTCTTTATAAGATAATCGATAAATTTGCATACAAAATCATGTTACGTGCTACCAAATTACAAGCGCCGTGCAAGCGGTATGCATCGTCGAACGTGTCGATTCTTTCGTTAAATCCCGCGATATCCAACGATATCCTGATATCGCGTGTGCGATGGAAGTCTCGAGTGAGCGATAGGAACGGGATTGACGTAATGGAACGGGAGCGAAACAAAATGGAATAGGCACAAGTCTCGGATCTTCTACGTGCAACTCTAATCATCCAGTAAGGTCACGTAGCTGCGACTACGTTGAGATGTATATTGAGGGTAAGAGAGACCGGGATGGCGAGGGCGATACTTACGGGTACCCCGTTGAGTCTCCACGTAACGGCGGGGGTGGGCCAGGATTTGCCTGAGGTGCAGTTCGCTCGTAGCGTCTCGCCCATTGCTATGCGCTCCTTCTCGGTACGAATCACAGGATCCGTTTTTGGAGCGTCTAAGGCATAATAATTATGTCGTTTAGCACATGCGACTGCTGCCATGGCACTAACTCGACACCTGGCGACATGCCAACGGCGCCGGGGGCGTCACAGAGCGTACCGGAAACACTTGAACAACGACCCCGTCATGCTTGCTACTGACGACGAGGGCTAGTGTTTCCAACGTGTCCCTCGACACCGCTGCTGCGCATTTTGTTTAACAATTTGTAATCTACGTCATGTCGCGTCATATCGCTGCAGAAGCTGTATGCGCTTATCTGATATACGAGCTTTTCCTTCGTGAAGAATTAGTTGGATATAATATAGTTTTCAGTTGTTTAAATCACGACATTAAAATAGCACATTTTCCGGTAGAAATAATAACTCTTAAAGAAATCGCAATAATTAAACAATACTTGAAAACGCAATTAAAATGTAACAACATCGCAATAATTTAATCATCGCGATCAACCCTCTGCGCAGTTTGAAAGATTATTCTATATTCTTCTTTTCGTATTGTATGTAAATTTTTAGGGGCATTAATTTGTCAAGAATTTATTTTGTTTTTTTACACTTATTTTCGTTGTACACGAAACTCTACGAAGTATTATATTAAAATAGCTGTTATTTTAAAATATACATACAAAATATATATATATATATATATATATATATATATACAGAGAAAATAAAAATTCAATTGTGTGTACTAAAGGGAGTTACAAGAACATCGGGAAAGAAAGCATAGATTCAGTTTGTCTATTGGAAATGGACGATATATCTTACTGGAGCGTTATAGGGCACATCGATTTTGCCTAAAACCCCCGGTATTACAGTCGATCGTTGATCCCCATACTGCTGTGCTCACGAAATGTACCGCTTTGAAATCGAGATGAACGGAGAACGCGTGCATACGCGTTCGGACAATCCCAGAACGAGCGATTTATCTTTGGCTGAGTTGCAAAAAGTTGCAAAAAGAAATTTTCAACACGCGCGTGTACTTACCGGCTACTTCCATCTTGGCCTTTTCGATCATGGTGTGGTAGGAAGGGCTGCCAGCAGACACCTCGCACTTGTAGGACCCGGTAAGCTCCCTGGACACGTCCACCAATGTCACGTCGTTCGTGTTCGATTTGGAAACCTGTAAAACGCGAAGTCTGATATACCGTGCTTCACCTATGCTCCACGTTCCACCTTCTCTATTTTCCCCGTTTCTCCACTCTGCGATCCGTCTCTCATCCTCCTACAGCCAGGTTTTTACGGGCGGTACGCCACCGCTACGAAAAGTTTCGTCATTTTTCATGCACGATAGGTCCGCGTCAATAGTTAGAGACGCTTTTGCATAACCGCGATCTTCCAACCCTCCATCACTCCGGGGTTATTCTCATGCAAATAATTTGCCGGTGTAAAATTATTTTCGCGTGATCTTGTAAGAATTCATACGGAACTTTAGCGAACGTCTACATTTAACATTTTCCAATGTTGCTCCAATTAAACTTTATGCTCGGCGATCGCGAGTTCAGAGAAAGTTTGTGAATAAGATGCGAGGAATATTCATTACGAATGCACCACCTTTTATTCTCGTACGATAAGAATGTCACGATTACAAAATAGCAAGACGACGGAAAACTAAATTTTCAAGAAATTGGTTATCAGTCGTGCTTGCACTTAGTTATCCCGTCACGTTCACCAACTGAATGGAGAGAGGGAAGAGGATAATAAGTATCGATCGTGCATTTGGGCAACTTCGCTAAAAGCATGGATCTCAGTGAAACTGTCACTGAAGAGTAATTCCGTTCGTGAGATTCCTTTTCAAAACGATGTTCTCCGAAGTGCTTTTACAGACGTTTGAAGAAGGGGAAACCTGACGGTGCTAAATATAGATTACTGCGCGGATAAGAATTTTTTATTGAAATATCTTTGAAGGAAGCATCACGTCTTAGCTATTTCTTAAATATCGGAGAACGAAAGACAAAAGTTTTCTGTCTTGCAATATCGATCACGGTGACACATCATTGATTCGAAACACGTGTATGGTATCTATGTCGAAAATAAGTTAGCAGCGTGCTTCGACTTTGTATAATACTTTCGAATGTGCCGGAAAAATGTGCATATGTATCCACGAGTACTTCGAAACTAGTTGCGAATAGCAACGTAAAATTTTTTCTGAAAGCGCTGAAATATTATATTAAAAAGTTTATGTCGAAATAAAGACATGCTCAGCAAGTTTTAGATGAGAATAAAGTTTAAGCGGGACGCAACTTTGCGTAATAAATAACATAAAAATAATGATTTAAAAGATATAAATAATAAAAACATGTATTGTAACAAGTTAAAATTCTAATTTGGTTATTATTATTTATATATAATTAAATTTTGCACATTTTCTCTTTCTCTTATTATATGCAAATAAATTCTCGGCTTGTTACAAAGAAATTTTATCATCTAAAATATTTTAAATTTGTTGAGATTAATCTAGTGTCTGCCTCTCTTCTTTAATCCATGTTCGCGTCAACTTCTATTGGTATTAAACATCGCTGATATTGCTCTGCATTCTGTACCACTGATCGATTTTACATCCAAACCTTTCCACGTTTAAATCTGGATCCCACGATCCGCCTGCGCCCGTTTCTTTTTGCGACACCGCTCTTTTCCTCTTCGCAGGCATTTATATTCATCGCGGCGAGCGTCTCCGCCTCCTTTACAAACTATGTCGGATGAGGGGGACAGGTCTTTTTCATCGTTTCTTCCGCTTCTGGCATCGGCGTGGACGAGATGCTCGATGAAAAATATCATTGAAAAGGGTTGCGCGCCGCGAGTATTCGAATCTGTCGGGGCGGAAACTGCAGGAGCCACGCGTTACCTCCTTTATGAAAAGTGTGAACATGCATCCCATTTTTCAGTCCGTGTCCTACATTCTTGATTAAATGAAGCCATACGGGCGGAAATACATGTAGCGTATACATATGCGTAACGTTAAAATTTGAACCGATTTAAATATAAATAGTAATATAAAAATTTTTATTTTTATTTATTCATACTGCATCGATTTTAAATATTGAGCATGAATTTAAAAAAGATAAAAACATTTCAATACCTTTGTTAACATTATTAAGATATATAAAATATTTATTTTAAATAATCAGCAATAAATAAAGTTTCCACGTTATTATAATTTACCTAATTGATATAGTTGACTGATTGAAAAGAGAAAAAAATGTCTAATATTATAATAGAGTTCCCATGAATATTTGCAAATATTGCTTATACTCAAATAAAACTGTATATGACTATACGTTTTATATGTTTTTTTTAAGAGCTCATAGCAGCAATTCTAGATTTTATTCTTTGTAGTTAAAACGAGGTTACGGGGGTACAAGCAACCTATTCTCTCTCGATTCATCGATTACATCGCAGTAACAATAGCTCAATACCGTTACATGGTATTACGGACCATGACTCACGTGGAACAAATATCGCCTATTCTTATATCGACTGAAAATACTCGCTTGGAGATATACGAGCCAATCGGAATAGACGATAGAAACTTAATCGAATAGTGAAAAATTATTATCTTAAATCTTCGGAAACACACGAGTGCAGCAATCGTATCTTACTTATACTGCTACATACTACGAATGTTCGTACAAAACTATTTCTTCTTTAAGTTTAACTTAGTGATAACGCGGTGATAATTGGAAAGTAAGGTATTGTTAAGTGGCGTTATAAAAAGAGGAGATTATCAGTACGGCTGCATGGGGTCGCAGTAAAGCGATAGTAATCTCATTGTAACTGCCGCAACATCGGAAGCGAATGATCGTGAAAATGCCTTTCGAGTCCACCATTGGTGGTTATATTTGCCGGCGCGAACGTTATAAATTTTCCGTATAAAGATTACGAGCCATAGTTACCGTTCTATCTGCCGATTTAGGATGCTTTATATGCTCATGAAAATTCCCAATCTCGTTTCTGTCTTGGCTTGAGATTAAATCTTGCGTAACTTGCTTTACTCTTACTTTTCTGGCCCGCCATAATTCACCGAATTTAATTAAATAATTATTTTTCGAATTTATTTGTTAAATTATTTTAGAAGATATACAACCTATAGCGTATTGACAATACGTTTTCTGATTGTTTCCTGTTGAAGTTTTTTCTTGAAACAAATGTTTCTATAACAGAAATTAGTACGAAAATCATGCTCTGGTCTTCGCAAGCGCATTGTCAAGCGCGCAAATAGAAAATCTTGTAAAATAACTCTGAATCCATGCGAAGTTCTAGACAGTTGGAAAAATTGAATCCTTACTGTCGCATTCGAAAGAAGAAATCGAGAAAACCATCTTGCTTCAGATGAAAGTCGCTGTATCCGTAACGTCAGCGTCACTTCGTCATATACTCTAGCTTCTCTCGATAAGTTTCTCTTCCCATATCGTTTTCTTCCTTTCATCACTTTTGCTCGTCTCACGTCTAGAAATATTCACAATTCCAGAAGTCACCTGGCACTTTTCAAACGAATTCCACCTCGCTCCTCCACCGCTATTTCCGAGTCGTCGTCGTTTCTTGCTTGTTCCTTGATCGCTCCTCTCTCCACTACCTTGTCTTCCACTGTTTTTCTCGCCCTCAATAATTCATTTACACTCTCATACATTATGTTCCTCGTTTTCTGCATTGTTTCATCCTGTACCTATTGTCCGATCACGTTTTTCTCCCGTTGAGCCCTTTATTTCATCTGCCCTCCGCATCATCTGCTACATCATTCTTTTAGCTATGCTTCTTCACTACGTTTTCACATTTTTCTCCCTCTGAAGTTTTGTTCCACTTTTGCGGTCTGTACGACCGCGCCGTTGCCGTAATTATCAGTAAAGCACGTCGCCGATCCCACGGGAGTATTTTCCTGCAGGACTTCGGTGTGCTTCCTTTGAGTCGACAGACAAAGGGCAACGAGATAGGAAGCAAAAAGGAAGCCAGCACTGGACGCTATTAAATGTCCACGCTGCCAAGATATTGTATATATACGTCTTCCTTGCGCGTGCGGTGTTTCAACTCACATATTTATCAGCAAATCATGTTGCACATTATAAAATTAATAAGAAGAGAGTTGATGTCAGCAAATTATTGGTTGAATTGTTAGGCTGCTCGACTTTTTGTTACAAAATATTAATTTTTTTTCATGAATTTGTCTTTTAAGTATTAATTATTGAAGTTGAAGTCATACTTTCTGAACGCTGTTTTTTTAAAAAATATTTTTAAAATTAATAATATTAGTATTATCGATACTCCTATGAATAATTAGTTTGAATAAATCTGGATTGATTCGTCGGGCGAATCAATCCAGATATATACATAACATTAAGATTTTTAATCTTAGATAATTTGACTTTAAATCCATTCCATATTTATTAAATTAATGTAAATGTAAGTATAAATGCATTGCCAAAAACTCTCCGCATTTCTCTCATTACGCTCGATAAGTGCAAACATACACATTTAGGATTAATTCCCGACATTTTTCTTTCGACGCGTCCGTCGGGGAAGGCGTTATACAAACCTACAGGATATTGCTTTCGCGCCGAGTGCTCTCTCTCTCTCTCTCTCTCTTGCGGAAAGGAGGATTCCATTTTCTCGAGCGTCGGAAAATTTAAGAAGAGTCGCACCTTAAGAGGACGCGAGAAAAAAGGTCGCAAAGGCGGGTGGGGAAGGAGGTAGATACGCGACGCAATTGCGACGACGTTGAATCGACGTAAAACACGGAACTCGCTTGACCCAGGTTCAAGCCGTGTCGCGGTCGTAGTACATGCCATAAATCAATCTATCGATTCCTTTCCCACCCGGTACCCGCGAGAGAAACTTTTGCCTTCGTCGTGGCCATACCTCCGGAAAAATGGAGGCACCCCGATGCATGAGAGATTAGAAAAGGCGGATAGAGGAGGAAAGGAAGGACGTCTGTCCAGGGAGCGGCAAGAAGCCTTGCCTTCGGCGAGAGAGCAAGGCCAGATCTTCTCTCTTATCGAATCTACTTGCAGGCTGTGTTTTCCGCAGAAAAATAGATTACGGTCGGTTACGATCGGGCGCGCGCGCCGCAAAAAGATAGCCCGTCGTTTACTCGCGAGCGCAAAAATCGAGCCGCCTTTAGTTCTTATCTCGACGACTCTTCGAAAGAGAGAGCTCGTTTGATAAATGGATCTAACGGCGCATCGATATGCGCATCCCTCAAGGAATACAATTTACGATACACATTGTACAGCAAGAATGCAGCGTGTTGCGATGTAAAGTACAGCTTCAAGACATCAATCGAATTTGAAATTCCTTCGTATTATCTGAAATCACATAATTTTGCCGTTTTGTTTTGAAACTAACACGTCGCTAATTGGATTCTACGGCAATATAAAATTGTTAACTACGGTACTTGAAACTTTACTCTTATTTATTTAGTACAGCATAGAATATTTTTCACGAACTGATATTATAGATAAGCCACCATAATGAGCATTATGGTATTTTCAAAATTAGTATAATAAACTTCTACGAAAGTGTTATTAAAGAGATAAGATTTTTATTGCAAGTTAACTGAGAAGTTGGATGTAATAAAGATAAAGCTACTCAGTTATTACTTTCAATGAGGTACGGGTTATACTCAATATAAAAATATTCAGGATGCTTCAAAATTATCACTGTTCAATATTTTAATTTTTGACATTAGCTATCTCGATCAAACTTTATTAAGGTTTAAAATTCTAATTGAATAAAAATAATATATAAATATGTTTATTTAAAATACATTAAATATAAAGAGCATCGCAAACTTCTCAACTACATATAATAAATATAGAAACTGTTCGTACGTTATAAAATTAATTAATTTTTAGATTTGTACATTATAATTAAATCGACGATTGTAGGTGTGAAAATAAGAAAATTATTGTTGTTGTTTAAAAAATATGAAATTTTTAAAACATCACTAGTTGTATTTATTAATAGATAAATTACTTACGTTTACGTGTACACCAACGATACCGAAAGTGCTGTAGGGTTCTGGCTTGCGGTCGGGTACAAAGCGATAAAATTCAACATCATTGAAAAACCATTGTATCGTGTACAAAGGTAAGCCCTCCAGGTCATAATTGCATGACAATGTTACGGTATCGCCTGATCTCACCATAGCTGGTACGTTTATCTTCAAATCTTTCAAACCTGTTGCACCTGCAAACAATAAAAAATATCTCACTGTGAAAGACATTCGTTTGATATGTAATAGCGTGTCCTATTTGCGTGTATAAAGAATATTTATTAACGTAAAATTATAATTTACAGTCGTGATTATAATTTACAAAATTCATATACTATAGTTCATGCATTATTCTAGTAGTATCAATGGTCATAATGTTTGATCGATGCATGTTATCTTCGACGTGATTTTAAAATTAAACGCCGGTCAGAAAATGGGATAGCCATAAATAATTCGAGTAAATTTTTCATATCGCAAATGAAAACTTTGCGACGTGATTTAATGTTTATCGATCAACGATTGCAAATCAATCTTGTCAGCTCCAGTCGAGTTTCATAAATGATGAAAAATATCGAATTACAACTTCAAATATTCTTTATTTAACTTTTCTGCTTTAAAAAACATGTAATACTTTATTCTAGCAATAATAATTAAAAGAAAATTTATATAAGCGCTGCTTTTTAAAATTTTATATTTATAAAATTTACTTTTTACATGATCAATTAATGCGCATATAATTTGAATTTGCTTTTTAATTAAAAAATAATCTATGTGTTTATATAAAAAATTGTGATACTAAGCATCATTAATAGTTTAATACTAGTAACATAATTTTAGTAATATAATTTTATTGATCCACATTTATTTTTTGAGGATTTTCATAAAAATAAAAATATAATAAAATATCTGTGTAGTAATAATTTTTTAGAAATTATTTGCGAAAGTTAAGTTAGGACTATTATTTCCATTCAGTCATGTTTTATTATTCGATAGGATATTGAGAGAAAACGAAGGATATATCCTTGGAGAGACATTCTTTTAAGATTAAGCCTATACCAATCCTATTTCCATTCCTTTCCTCATCTCTCGAAAAAAGATATTTTGCTTTCTAAGCACGTTTCTCGTGCAGAGAAAACGGTTTTCGAATTGCAACGTCATCAATTCATGCAAGAAATAAATTGACTTATCGACAATTATTTATGCGTTTAGTTTATCAACGATAAACGGGATAACAAAAGAATTCATCTTATAAGAAGATGATTTTATTATTATCAGTATTAATTTTTAAAAGAAGAACGAGAATAACTCTTGTTTAATTCATACAATGATATAATACGGATATTAATTATTATATTTTGTAGAAATTGACTGAAAATTTCATTAATACGAACGCAAAGATCTACTTATGCAGAACGGCAAATCTATCATCGTACATAATTAACCCAATTAGCATAATTGATTGAGTCTCGTCAACGTTTGTTAAAGTACTCGATCGAACAATACTGCAGCATAATACATGCAATTTTCGGTGTAAACTTTATTGGCGTGATTGCGTTAACAAGAGCAATAGATGCTCGACGGAACTCGAGAGCGACAGCGCTGTATTTTCGTCGTATTATCTCGGGAGAATTACGCACTTATTGCACAACGAATGCTGATGAGAATTACGTGCCTGTGAACAGTAAAAGCGACGAAAGAAGGTAACTCGGTAGCGCACCAAGTCTCATCACGAGTGTGGCGCAAGTTGATTTTAACAATCCATTTTTCTCGAATCTCTCTCGTTCGTTTTCCCACATGAGACAGTAAGATGAGAGCGAAAGAGAGCGAGAAAGAAACGGAGAAGGAGAAAGACGGACGAGCTCGCAAATGATCATCGCGATCGGAAAACGCTTTACTCGGAGCTGTTGCAGTCGCAGAGTGTTTCGAGATCCGCCGGCGTCGAAATACGGTTGTCTTTCGGTAATTTCCACTCGAAGCCCTTGCGGTCATCGATACTCCCGCCGCCGGCTTTCCGTCGACTCCGAGACGCTCCGAATTCTATTCCGGCAGAACGATCAAAGCGAAAAGGCAGTCGGTAGCGCCTCTACTCCTAAGGAAAGAGACAGCCGCGCGATCCTCGTGCACGCTTCTCTTTGTCTGCCCCTCGAGAAACCAATTACAAAGAAGGAAGCGCGCTATCGCACCGCGCACGAGTTAAATTAATTCAATGTACGTGTTAGTATTGGGCTAAATGCTTTCGATAAACTTTGCTGAGCGTCTCGTAAAGGGCGCGCGTTTGCGGTACAACTTATTCCGAGGTAAACTTTATTCGCGCCGTCAAGCCAACCTGGAAGTAGAACTCCAGTGTGGCCGCAATTCCGTAATTAGTATAATAAATAATCTAATGCGAGACCAGGAGAGAAACGTAGGAAACGTAGGTTTACGTAACGTGTAGGTGCATCGCGCATGTAACGTAGTGCTCCTTGAAATGGGATAAAAATGCATGAAACGTGTGCTGCATGGGATGCGCTTTCGTGAGACGCGAAAACATAATGCCTTCCCGCGAACGGGTACCTACGGATTAAATGGATTCATAATCCTTAAATGGATTCATAATGTTGCCGGTGGACGATCGTCGGCGTTATCGTAACCGGCGATTAAGTTAAGCGACCGCTTTATCGTCATATCTCGCGCTCGCTAATCAGGTGGAAATTTACGCGAGATCTTAAATTGCGTGCGAGATCTTAATTTGCGCGGTGTTTGAACCCGCCGCGCGGTTTGCTAAACAATCTGGGTACGACAATCTGGTTTTTCCCTCGAATAAAATAAAAGCCTGTAAAAGCTTCCGCCATCAAGCTCCAAGTTTCATCGGTTGTTTCTTAGAGTTTACGTTGCTTTCCTCGTTTCGCGTAACGTGCGTCGAATCGTCGCTTAAGTAACGCTCGGCACTTTCGCTTTATGTGGAATTGCATGGCCGAGCAAATGGACATGCATCTTCGCGAAACAGTCGGGCGTAACGTGCAAACGGCGGAACGTCACGATTAGACGTTTCGCATATGGCGCACGGTACCCGCGAGACATTTAGTCGCCCGTGGAAGTGTTCGGGAAAGCTGAGTACTGTTTATTTTCGCCATTAAGCCCGGGAAATATGGGTTAACTGCTACCAAGGGCCGCAGATCAGTGATTAAGTGCAATAAATAATTCGGAGGCACGACGCCACACTAAGCTGCGCGCAGATAAGACCATTGTGCGCTCGATCCCGTGCTTTTTGAGAGCGTAACAGGAACGTAATTTCGCGAAAGAGCAGAAGATAACATGCAAATGCTGCGACATCTCGTTTCGCAGAATGCTCTCGATACTGTAGCAATTTATTGTCCGTAAAAAGACGCGCGTATAAATATACATAAAAAAGATATCTGCCTAAGTGCGGGTAGATAACTAGATTGATTCATATACCGGCGAAGTTAATCTGTCATAAAAACGATGTCGACTCTTTTCTTGTTTTTCTCTCTTTCCCTTCTCTTCAGAGAGGATAAAGTTTCATAATGCTAATTTCCTCGAAAAATTTCCGCTTTAATTAACAGCAAAAAGAATCATGAAACATTTTTTTTACAGCTGTAAGATTTATCCTCTTGATGATTTATTTATCTATATACATTGTTAAAGATTTTATGTTGGAAAAAAAATGCGATTCGTAATAGAATAATTCACCACGAATTATTCGCAAAATACGTAGCATATTATGCAAATATGTTTTATAATTTGTTTTTAAATATTTATTTTATTTAACAATATGTATTATCTATTACATCTTATTTAGTCATTTAAATCTTATCTAAATGTTATTAATAAATATTATAATTTTCTGATTAATAATAGTTGAGACATTAGAAAATACTTTTAACAATATTTCATATTTTGTGTTTTTTATTTTTCTTATTTTATAATTAAATAAAATTATTACTAGTTCTTTTTAAATCTTTATTTGGGTTAGGAGTTAATTTATATAAATGATAATTGCAAATGATATTAAATGGTGAATGTTACACGCAATTGTTTCGCAATTGTTTATTTCCATAGAATGAATTATTGAAATTCTGTGGATAAAATATTTTATGTAAGAATAAAATAATTTAAAATATATTTATTTTATTTTAATATTTATTCATTCTGCCATTATATTCCATTAGGATTCAAAGAAATGTAATTACTTACAAATTATTAAAATCATTAATTTAAATTTTTAACCGCAGAATATAAAGGAAAAATGGATGAGGATGTAATGAAGAATAACCAATTTAGTCATTAACAAGAACGTAAAATCAAATTTATCACATATAGAAATGTCGTTTAAGCATTTGTGCGGACAACAAGCTTAGCGAGCAAAAATTTCCCTTCCTCTTTATTATTCGCACATTACGATCTATGTCGCGCTGATTACGATAGTCCACGATGCCGCATCGGAACGCGATGGCCTCGGCTCAATTACTATATTCCCAGTAAGCGTTTGCAATATCTGCCCTCGCTTCGCCTAACGAAGTCCGGCATAAAAGAAAACAAGCATTTTTCTCCCGATGTCCATGTTGATTGCAAAATAACGGGCTTTATTGGCTATTACTCCGATCGCGAGTAAGAGCTTCGCGCCTCTGCGCTGCAGCGCGACGGGACGCGATTCGGACATAAAATACAAATGAAACTCGAGCGCGAACAGTCGCGATTGCGACCGATATAACGTTACACATAAACAAGGTACGATCAACGTTCGCCAGGATGCCCACGTAGAGGGAATCGATGATAACCCCGGAGCGAATCGGTCGAACGTTCATTCGTAACTGGGCAGCAACCGGGATTTTGCCATTTTTATCGATCGCCCATGCGTTCACACGACAGAGCTCGGCCCCGTAAACGTCGAGATTTATTCACGCACGATTTATTCGCGATATATATTCACGGCATGCAATGATGCGTCGTTAGTGCGATCGGTCGTTCTTGCCGAGCAACGTTCGGCTCAAATCGTTAGACAACTTCGTTGAGCAATTTAATGCCTGTTACCAAACGGTTACGCCTGTGCGTGTAACACGCCGGAGTTCGTCTCGCGTGATATTATCAGTTGTAAAGTTGCGCAACGAGTTAAGGTGAAAATTATTTAACTGGCCTGTATCATCGCGCGGAGACGTTCTAATTACCGCGACGAATGTAACACTAGCTATTCCGA